TTATCCCAATGATTTGGGTCCGCTACATGAATCATGTTCTTCCATTCTTCTCTGTCAAGGGTCATACCTTTAGTAAGACTAAAAGTCACCATATGTTTTCTCACTACTTCGATCCATGTTTTTTTTAGTCTTCCCCTTGTCCCTTTAGAGTCTTTCACTTGAACCAAATAGCACCTCCTAACTGGTGTTGCGGTAGGCTTACGTTGCACATGGCTAGCCCACCTAAGTCTACTCATCCTCATTTTATCGCCTATTGAAGCCCACACCCAAGTTTCCTCGTATATTATATATGTTTATACACACACACACACACACACACACACACACACAATTGATCATGGATTAAAATCATAATGATATTACTATAGTACATAATTCAGTTTGTGTTGCATTTTTATTTTTCCTTTATTTTTTAAATACAAAAAGATTTATTGCTCTCGCAGGAGCAGATTTTGGATATGCTCTCTCGGCCTTATCTACCACTCATTATATCCATCGTTGGATAGGTGACATTCAAAAAGAGGAACCGGAGTAGCTGGTTCACCTTTATTATAAAGTTGTGCAGTTGTAGGTACATTTGCACCTAGTGTATCTCCTTCTGTATTCTTTGATGCCTCAGCCTCTCCCACCGCCTTTCCTCTCTCTTTATTATAAAGTTGTGCAGTTGTAGGTACATTTGCACCTCTTGTATCTCCTTCTTTATTCTTTGATGCCTCAGCCTCTCCCACCGCCTTTCCTCTCTCTTTATCTATCTATATCTCTCTCTATCTCACCACTTAATCTGCATGTTTATTATAAAGGTGTGCAGTTGTAGGTCTGTACATGTGCACCTAGTGTATCTCCTTCTTTATGCTTCGATGCCTGTCTCTCTCTATCTCACCACTTAATCTGTCTCTTCCTCTATCATCCCTCTTTCTCTCTCTTTGCTCTTCATCTCTTCTTTGTTTCCATCTAGGCTCTCCTCTCCTTGTCTATCTACTTTGAATCCATCTTCATCTCTTTGAAGACATAAACCCTTTTTCATCTCGTTCTCTCTATATCTCAACCTTGGATCCATCTCTAACGCTTCGTGCAATAGGCTCATTGCCTTATTTTTTGCCTCTCTCTCTCTCTCTCTCTACCTTGGATCCATCTCCAAGCCCCCATACAGTAGGGTCGCTGCCTTAGACATGAGACTTATATGTGAGAGTCAGCTTCTCCGTTAGGTTATCTGCATAAGGAGATTTTCTCGTAGGGATTCAGTGTTATGAACCAAAAATTTTGCTTTAGCTCATTGTATTCATATTTTGCTGTGCATATCAAGTCAATGGGGTTGGATTTTTGCCTCATGGCTTTTTGCTTTTCTTGCTTCCTTGCCCAACCCTTCTGCCGTAGGTCCAATTTCCTTTAATAGTAACAGGGAGTCTCAACTCTTATTTGTCATATTTGAAAAGATGGAGTATAGCTCACATAGTGCTAAAGGCTTGCTCTTTTCTATGAGGTTTGAATCAAGCCAAAATATTGGCTTCCTTAAGTTTGAATCACACCAAAAGACTTTTTGACTTCACAATGGTGCTCAAGACTTTTGCTCGTCTCTAATGGCTCTTAGAGAAGGTGAACAAGGCCCATTTGGTTAAGCAAGTAATGATTGTACAAGTGTATGTTTTTTTAATCGGTGGGTTATAGTGTCCTCACCACGTTTTTGATAAATTGCCAGTGAAAAGCTAAAAAGTTTGGTTTCATGGAACTCCATGATTGCTAAGTACTTGTATTGTTTTTTGGTTGAAGGTGGTAAGCTCTACCTTGGTCATTTTGGTTGAAGGTGGAATGCTGTAACCTAGGCATTGTAATCAGCCCCTTATTGAGTTTGCCCTTGATATAGAACGACACTTGAAGCTGTAAATTCGTACTCAACTTCTTTAATAATAAATTCTTCAGTAATGATATATATGATTGTAAATTTCTCTCTATCTCATTTCTCTTCCTACTATGCATAAAAAAGTGGGTTTCAGTGTTTAGCTACATGGAGAAGTCTCTGCCTATGAACCAGAGGGGTTCTTGGTTTTTGAGTGGCATTTGAGAGCTCCCTTTGTTGAGTTACAGGATTTGTAAGAGACAGTAGAAATAAGGTTGAGCTAAGATGGGAGGAAGGTTGTGGGGAATGATGAAGAGAAGAGAGGGCATAAGTGGTGTTGTGGGTGGGGTGTGTGGTGTGTGTGGTGTGTGTGTGTGTGTGTGTGTGTGAGAGAGAGAGAGAGAGAGAGAGAGTGAGAGAGAGAGAGAGAGAGAGAGAGAGAG